GATTAGGTATTTCCTAATAAGTATCTCCTTAGGGTGGTAGTACACTTTGTGCTGTGTTTGGCCAGCCAGTGGATTAGGGAGGAAATTTCTCGTGTAAATCACTGTACTCTTTAGAAAGTCACTGCGTACACTACTTAAACTTTATTTACTGAGAAACACATGTGGTGATGGGTTCAGACATAAAAATCCATTACCCTTGTAAAAAAAGGATTAAGAAATCTGCAACGTTTTACTTGCCCATCTCAGAGAAGCAGTAAACACTCTAGAAAAGTCATCAAGCAGAAGCGTAGAGGACTGAGGACGTTGAGCAACTGCGTTAGGTTATTTACCTGTTTCGGTGTCTCCTTGGGGTGCACGGCAGTAACAGCAGTCCATGAAGATAACATAGTTGAACACATTGAAGAACAGACCTGCAATCCCGACAATTAGGACAAGCAGTGCTTTCTCAGTCTTCTGAGGATTGATAAACCTCTTGATTGCCTCAACGAAGATGCTAAACATCAGAGCGGTGGCAAAAACAGAGTTGCCAAAAGCTCCCAGCACATCTGCCCGGCTGAAGCCAAAAGTGTTAGCCTTGTGCCATCTGATGCGACTGAACCTAACACCGAACAAACCGATGATCATGGAGATCAAGTGAGAGAGAACAGCAAAGGCATCTGAAGCTAAGGAAAGAGAATTGCCAACGTAGGCTACTGAGATCTCAACAGCAAAAAGCACAAGGCTCACCACGCACATGAGGATGAGCCTGCTGCTCCTGCCCGAGTAGCGGCCCATTTCTCGTGCTCTCTTCCCCTCACTCTGGGGTCCTGCAAGACAGAGGTGTGCGAGAAGCAACTCTCTGCCTGTGCTTATGCCCTTTACCTGTCAGCGCTGCTCACATGTGGGAGCCACTTTTATAGGAAGCAGTAAAGCAATAAATCAGTTTAAAGGGCAGTTTAGCAAGATTCGTCATGTGAAGGCAGCCTGAAGGCTCCAGTCCTGTAGAGATTCCACCCTCAGGCGGCTTTTTTTTCTACAAAACCAAAAATAAACCAAGGGAGAGTACTGGGAGCACCAGCACTTGTTACTCTACCCAACAGCACTGTCCTAAAAAACTGAGTAAGGCCCAGACAGGAGAGCATAAGAAGGTGGCTCAGAATTTTAAGCAGTTAGAGAAGGCATTTCTTTTGCATAAAACTTTCCTCCGATATCCGTTTCGGTCATTTCTGTTGCCAGTAACTTTAGTACTGAGAAAATACTACATGCCTGTGGAAGAAGACATTTTGAATCCATGTTGGGTTGACATTACTTTTAAGAACATGGTAAACGTGAACTGCCTGCGAGGGTAGTTGAACATGTCCCTAGAGCAAGTTTTAAAGACAACTGAATTGATCTTCCATTTTAGCAACATAGAGTTATCAGCTGCTTGCACTTTTGGCACGTTTTAACATTGCCCAGGGATATGGAGCAAAGTTGGAGGCCATTGTCTAAATATGTGACCAGTAGACGCAGGAGCTGAGCTTTAACAATAAACTCAAAGCACAACGTTTATTTCCCATTTAGAAAACCCTGCCTATCTCAAAATCCCAAAGTAATCCTCATAACACTTGCAAGGAAAAGTCAGATTTGGGGAAAGCACAACCAGAAGTTAAGGGGGAAATAAGAGCTGCAGAAGTCCTGGCTTGTACTTGGTGCCATTTCTGGAACACAGTAAGAACCTGAAGCAGTAACTTTTTTTTTTTTTTTTTTTGTCACTCACTGCAGTACCTGTTGATGTCTTGAGTGTATGCCTAGGAGTTTATACACACTCACAAACCCCCGTGAAGGCAACCTAGCTGCTAATAGTACACTAGGCAATATGGATGATACGACCAGGTGCCTTCCTTGAAAAGTTTCTAAGTTTATGATCCAGTTTTTGTTTGAAATGCCCATCTGTGTACCTGTATACACACAGTTAGTTACAAGATAAAACGGAAGGAAATTACATGCAGTACAGCCATAGAGAGATAAGATACTAATACTGATAACCTGAGCTGGCCAACTATCCCTGCTGGCTTTAGCCTTCCCAAGGTGAATTAACTTTAGGTCAAAAACACAAACACCTACCCCCAATTTCATTTATTTTTTTGCTCACAGGGTTTCAACAGCCAAAATATTTATGTTTAAAGTCCAGTCTGTTAGAAGCCTTGCCTGCCAACAGTTGTAATTTTTAACATTCTGTCATTTGTTTACGCACACACTGCAGCTGCAGCTCTTCAGAGTTCCCTACCACCACCACCACCACCGCCGCCTGAACACCACTAACCCTGGTGGGGTGAATTAGTGGAACTAACTACAACGTTGAAACTGGTAATTGCTCTTTTTCCTCTTCATCCTCTCCGTCCTGTGTTACTACTTCTATCCCAACTATTTCTATAGTATTTTCTTCCTTCTTGTATTAATGTTCAACTACTTATTTTATTATCTGAACTACAGAGCATGAAAAGTGAGAATTTTTTTTTCAAGAGTTATTCTCCTTTCAGTGGAAACAGACCAAAGTCAAACTTCAGAGCTCTCAAGTCCTGCCTTACACAAGGTTTTGATTACCAAAACATGAGCTTGAGCTACATGAAGCATTCCCTTTGCAGCAGAGCTAAAATGCTCATGTGCTCTATTTTGTCAATAAGGAGCAGCACCACCTTAAGGCAGTTCCACCACATCCCACCTTACTATGCTATTTAACCCAGATTTATCAGTATACAAGTAGAAGAACTAAGGAACACTAAGATTTGCAGTTCTAGTATAAACACAAAGCAGGATCATTTAATCAACTGTAGTGTGTTACTCTGATTCATATAGTTATTTTCCAAGAGACAATTTATTAAGATTTTGAAAGGTTTTTTATACCAGTATAATTAAGAGTATGGATGTTTCTGTAATGCATTACAGATAGCTCAGATTGTGCTTCTGGTGGAAGGATACTTGAGATGGACATCTCTCTCCCAGGCAGGCATTAGCTTCTCCTCTGTGGAAGATCACCACAGAGATCTGCAGGTGAGTCATCCACATTCCATACACTTTAATCCCTACTGTGATCAGGAAGAAACATACTGGGGAAAAGAATTAAAACAAACAAACAAACAAACAAAAGGGCTGGGCTTCCTTGAAACCTTTGGCTTCAAACAAACTCATTGGTAGGTTGAGAGCAACTAATTCCTAAGAACAGTGTTGTCAACATTTACTCATTAAACTGGTCAACTGGTTGAAGGTTGGCTGTTTTTTCAAACTGGTAAGGCTGCAGCAGTATTAGAGACTACATTTAGTTTTGCCTTTCCTTTGTTCTGTCTTATTAACAGCTTCCTCATCTCATTTTTAGAATACCAGTGTTGCAGAGTGTTTTGATGGGAGCTGAAAGTGCTTATCTATTCTTAATAATCTGTTTTGCTCCGTCAGAAAATCTTGGCACTCTCCTGTCTCTCATGCCCGAGGACGTTGAAGCTGCTGGTTACTGCCTCCCCTTCCCTGAGAGTGCTGCAGCAGGCAATACCTCTGAAGGCCAGTCTTAGTTACCCACCATTTGAGGCTGGGAAAACATCACCCTGGTATTACTACTTACACTCTTTCTCAAAGTGTAATTCCAGTCAGTGTTAGAGACAGCATACCAGGATAGAAAGACCTGAAGGCCACTCTTCTGGTATGTCAACTGAAAACAAAAGATGAATGCATGTACTGATGTATCATTCCCCAAATCCTTTGCTCATTACTACCCCTGAGACTTTGCCTATATGGTGAGAAAATACCTAGACAGATGAATGTGAGACAGAGGATTTCAAGATGCAACTGAAGCAAACCCTTCAGGACTAATCATCATCCAAGAAATATTACAGAGAATTTCCAAGTGCTCAAGCATTCTGGGCAAGCTGATCTGAAATATTTAATAATTTTTGCACTTTTCTCTGAAAAGCTGGTGTACTATGACAAGGTGCATGATCCTAAACTGGACAGACTACTGGTTCAATTTAATATTCAAAATTTTGACTAGGAAGACTGACCACAGGAATCTGGGCAAAAGCAAACATTTTGCATGCTTTTTGAAAAGCAGAGAAATGTGAAGATTGGGAATAGCACTGCAAGTCTCCTGTATGCTTAAGACTTTTAGACTATTGATGTCACATAAAAATAGGGTTTTGGAAACAGGCAGCCATGTAGTATTGTCAGAGGAAGAGTTTGGGGAGGAGCTTACTGGTCCAAATTTTTAATTGCCAAGTTTTCATTCAATTCTTTTCAGGGAAAAGGGTTTATGTAGATGGCCTTCAAACATACAGGAGAAACAAGGAACAAATTAAGCATGTGCCATCCAAAAGTTATTTTGTGCCAGGACTATCTCATATTTTTTAAGTCAACCCTATGTTCAGAGTGGAAGTAATATTTAAAAAAAAAAAAATTCATAGCCTGCAACATCCAGCCTTCTCTGCTAAAGCAACACATAGTAAGTGGAGGAAAAGCAAAAGGGGTTTATGGAATATGTTACAGGTATAACCACAGCCTAAGATCTTTAGCACTGAAAATACCTCTCTTCAGATTGCCTTTGCATTACTCATTGCAGTATCACTGTGAGACAGCTACAAAATGCTAGTTTATAAGAGAAGCAGGGATTTGCAAAATATCTGCAAGAAATGGCATTCACCTGCATCTTGCTAACAATGTGGCATTTAATCCAAGATAGCCTTTCAAACTTGTTTTACGATGGGGTGAAAATACTCCTTGAAACACCTGGCTCCAGAAGTTTTCAAAGAGGGTAGAATTTACCACACCTACAAGTTAGCAGCAAGTCTGTACTGAAAATTGAAAAATTTGAAGGCAAAATTAAAAGCAGATGTTTTATCTATAAAGTTTATGTCGGCACACTAAACTGTACTGTAGAGCATTTATGACATTCTCTCAGTGTACAAGAAAATATATGCATCAAAATGGAAGAGAGACATGAGCAAAGAATACCTATCCTCCCCACTGAGCAACACAGAAAAAACAACAAAAGCATATTACAGCTCACAATACATGTTTATTATTAGAGATGTTTACAGAAAAGTCTGTGAATTACTGCTAGCCTAAGACTGACAATTGGGGGGGGTATGGTTTATGGCTTTGTTTTTTTGAATCATTTAAAAAGTCGCGAAACTAATTAAGTTTGGGGGCTTTTTCAGTCTTATTAAAAAAAGTTCAATTCACAGATAAAGGAGAAGGTGCTTTCACTAGTAATTTAGTAGCTACGACCAAATAGGGTGTAAAACTTTGCAGGGTTTTTGCCGCACACACATCTTGCCCCACACTGTAGTTCACAGAGAGGCTGAAAAGGTATGCAGAGGCTTTTTGCTCCCATGGAAGGGGCGCCAGGCTCAAGATCTTGATCCCTGAAATAAAAACATATTAATAAATAAATACTTTTATTTAAAAATAAAGGTGCAATAAAGTGTATTATACATAAAATCTCAAAACTACACAAATGAGTCTGAAAGTTTCAGAACTAAGGGAGTAAATATATTGAATTATGCAGGACAGCAAGAGTCAAGGGGGAGGATTATACATCAGTGTTATACCTGGAGACATCTTATATTCCTGTTTTATACTCAAAACACTTTGATTTTGATCTTGGTAGATACTCTCCAGTTCAGTTATATTTTACCTGGCAGTGGTCTTCTTGATCCAATCCTCACACTCAATTTCCCCACAAAAAGGGATCTGTACAATCTGAAGGGAGGGAGGAGGGGGAGGGGAGAGAAAAAAACCCCACAGTTATACATCTAGAAAAATCATCCTTGTCTCTGGATTCCTAAACCTTAAGATCTCATATACACTCAAAGCCAAGAAAGTTCTGATTGCTACAATTAAATTTTAATAGCTCTTTCTCATCAGAGAAATAGATAAGCGGAGTCATCTCTCCATAGTGCAGCATGGAAAAACCTACACAAACCCAAAGCAGCATTTAAATCAAGTCAGGGTGTTGATTTTATTTATTTTTTTAAAAACCCAATATATCTTCCTTCTGTGGTAAGTATAAATACTGTTTTCTCCTGAAATACTCTGTTTTTCAGGAAAAGTTTAAATCTTTCAAACTGCAGAACAAATGCTTGCTTACATACTGCAAGATAGTGCTTTCCTAATGAAGTTTCATCTTAATTCTGTTACTATGAATTTTCGTATTTTCTCAATAAGACAAGGACATACACATTTTAAGAAAACAGAATCGCCAAGAGCACATTTTTCTTGGGGGCAGGGGGAAGTGGTGTGTATGTTCCTGCTGTTTTCTTCAGTTAGCTGAAGAAAACTGAGAAAGTAGTTGAAATGATACTCACATACACTCTTCTCAGTACTACTCTTAGCTATTGTAGCAAATCTCTATTCCCAATATTCTTTATATTCCATTTTATTGGTTTTTTTCACGTTTAATGGACTTTCACAGTGAAAATTCTGTTTACTACTAAAAAGTAGGATTACTGTTAAAAAGACACCCCCTACACATATTTGAACACTCATGTGATCCTTATATCTGAGGGCAACAACAGCTACTAAATTCAGCCTTCACACACATTTTAATTCTATCCAAAACATGAATAAGGTTTGCTGATCTGTGGCTTGCTTTCACCAAATTTACATTCTTAGTGCAAAATTCTCAGTTTGCCTTGAACTGGAACACATCTTTATTAGACTTCACTTTATAGCTTCACTTTCTTGCAACTGAAAAAAGGAACTATTACTACTCTCCTGTTCCCTGCATTAATCTTTTGTTAGTTAAATGAAACTTTGTTTAAATACCTATGCAATTATTCTTGGAGTTTCAAGTAAACTTTGCATGCAACTTAAAAGAACACAGAAGCAGTCTGCATTTTTAAAGAGCTAATAGTTTACACTGCAATTATACTAAGGGGAAAACAGCAACAGGACCTAAGCAGGAGTACTTCAGCTTACAAATTTTCTTCTTACACAGTAGTCAGTGCTAACACAGTGTAATTTCAAGAAATTACAGAATACATATGCTATAAAATTTTGTCCATACAACATATATAGGTAGAGAGTGAAACAGTCATAAAGTGTCATACATAATTTTTTTTCAATTCAGGTATGTCAATTGTAATAAACTCATATAACCTAAGTATCAAAATGGTGCAAGTATCCAACTTGGAATGTAAAAATATTTATTCACATTTCCAAGTTTCACTACATTATAAACTAGATTATATACTAGAGTTCTAAAAATAATACAAATAGTTAAATTCTCCTGGCCCTCTCTAGAATCTAGCTGTATACAACAGTGAGTGTTGGACAATGAAAACCAGGCATTTTACCCTCTCCATAAGCAGAGGGCATCATATGGAACCTCTGCGGTAGGAGGAGAAGAAAGGGGGTTCTATAATATTTCATCAAAATTAAAGGATAATAATTTATGTGCATGTACAAACACAGAATTACC